CTCTCTTACTCTCTCTCTCTCTCTACTCTCTCTCTCTCTCTCTCTCTCTCTCTCTCTCTCTCTCTCTCTCTCTCTCTCTCTCTCTAAATATATATTTGAGAATCATGATTCTTCAAATAATTCGAGATTCGTCTTTAATTTAAATAAATCCTATTAAGTAATTAGAAGAGACTATATCAAAGAAATAAATTTTTCAAATTAATCAAGTAACAATTTTTATAAAAAAAATCTTGCATATATTTAAGATAAATTATTTGCATACATTTAACTTTGCATATACAATTTATATGTTACGAGTTTTCCTACGAAAAGAAAAGAAATACGCCGACTGGCGCATCATTCTGTACAGTTATTCACAGTTGACCTACATAATGTAACAGAATACATACATTTGAAAACATAGTTCACAACTTGTGAGCATTACATGCCAATGTCGTGCATCCATCTTGGTGACTATGAATTATGAACCTTTTAAATTATGAATGTACAGAAAAAAATTATGCGTGTTGTGCATTTTTTTTATAAATGTGAACGCATTTTTGTGACAACACATGCAATCGTTAGTCGCGAACTTTGATCCCGATAGTATGATAATAATATAATACATATTATACATGATTTATATCAAGTTCTTCGTATACTCGACAAATCATCATATTTTATTTTCCGCAATTACTTCCACGAGGCTTTTTGCATTTGATAGATAATATCTAGATAAATTTTCTTCTTTTTGTTACACAATATTCTTCTTCCATCTGATTTAAAAAATCATTGATTCCGCTAATAACTACCATTTTCAATATCCTTGAAATGTTTAATATCTTATTAAAGCGCAAATAGATTCGTTCACTCGCACTTGTTAATAAACGATAGAAAAAAAAATCTATGAGGACGTTATGAGTGGAAGCACTATTCTATCATGATCTAACGTGAGAATTTACCGTAAATTGTCGTTGTATCAAAGAGCTTCTTCTTCTTCTCGAAGAGCCTGCCCCAAACGATGGTAGAGATAATTCTCAGGAAGTAGTTTACGTCGAATAGAATGTAGAGAATGGCGATTATCGCCACGCAACAAGAACACAACATCGTCGGCTTCCTACCGGCTTCTTATCTTTCGATATCTGAATAACAGTGCGATAATACGCCGACTCGATGCACGCCTCCTCACGGTCGATGGAAGACTGAATTCTGACCAGTCAGTGACTAGTCGGTGACTCTGGAGAACCGGTTTCAAAAGCGTCACAGAAGCGCTAAAGCAAAAAACGTTCCGAGATTTTGTCACGCTGATTAAAATGTTGCAACGAAATTGGAATTGCAAATCGGAAAATTTAAAAATAAGATTTCCTTTAAAGTGAGATAATATAGGTATAAATATTCACTTATCAAGTTATCATTATGCTGAAAGCATAATCGAGAAATATTAATCATAGATAAACGCTACTGTTTTCAATTTCCTCTCGTTCAATTTGAAATTCTAAAAATGGATCTTTTAGCATATATAAAGTCAGTTTTGACAAATGAGAACATTTTTTTAATTTTTTTTTCAGAACTATTTAAATTTTAATGTTCTGTCTTGTTGAAATAAATCAGGATTGAATCGAGACTATAAAAAGTTAAAATATTAAAAAATTTAAAAACTTTTTGAAGTATCTCGTTCGCAAATCTGATTATTTTACTTTTTTTTATCAAACATTAAAAAGATAAGGTCCGATGAAGAAAGATACTGGCTATAGAAATATGTGCATTGTCATAAGTGTTAATGAATCAATGACCTTGCTAATTTAGTATTATTTGCTCACGTACATTTTCTATTGTATTGTATACATCGTAAACTATAGTCTTTACAAGCTTGAAAAAAAAGACAAACTGAAATATTACTACGCTTTCTTCAAAACATTATTAGTTAAAACATTGTTAGTTAATTACAAAACGATGTGTTAATTTAATAGATAGATATATTTCTTTCAATGGGTGAAGGCACCTAATGTACTATATAAATACATAGGCATTATTATATTGGTAAATAAATTAATATTTGTTAATATTTATTATTTCCCTGCCGTTTTCCAATCAGTTGGGTATACAGAAAAAAATGTAGATAATAAGTAATATATAACATTAATATTAAATATTCAATTATAATTGCTAATAGCGATCCCTTATAGAAATTCAATACTGGAAGGTAATTATTATTTATTTTGAATATTAAAAGTACTGTTATTCAATATTTTTAATACAAAATAAGTAATTTCTAATATTAAATTGGCCAGCATTAAAATTGGATTTCTATAAAGAATGTTAAAAGAGAAAAAGTGTTCTATATATACTTTTCATGTTCTATATTTTTGTATAATATTAATATTCAGTTCGATGACGAATTAACGCCAATAAGTACAGAGAAAACCTCGCTTCTAATTTTGAGGTATTTTTTTATCACTTAATGCAAAGATATTACATGTATACAATATATCATTTAATTTATACCATTTAATTTTTGTAACGTGCAGTTAATTTTTATAACGTATACCAAGTGTAATATTTTAATATTTTAATATAATATTTTATAACAATCTTTTACGATCAGGCGTGATAAAATATTATACAATTGTAAAATACAAAGGTAACAAAAAAAAACGATTTTGAGCTTAAATTCTTCTTCTAAAAACTTCTTTTTAAGAATTTACCTATAATCACTTTCTTTTGCTAAGAATTCAACTAGCTCATGTCTCGATAGAAATACTAGAAAGAAATAATCGCTCGCTGTGATTATATATTAATTGTTCTCATTCCGTCTCGATTACTAAACATCGTGCTCATCGTAGGTTGTTTTTATCGCTAATTTTGTTCGAAGGCCATTCGCTCAGCTTCGTGTCAAAAGTAATTAAAAACGCTCGCGAGAAACCACCGAGATTAATCGATTTCCAGAAATTTCGCTAGGACAACATCCGTCGCTCGATAATCAAGGATGAAGATCAGGAATATCATATTCCGAGATTTCGCTTGTTACACAGTCGTGGTTGTGTATATTGGTGCCAAGACGACGCCACCGCTGGACGTCGCGACGTCCATTTGTCAGCAACGCGTTGTCACCGTGATTGGATCCTGTCTCAACGTCGCCGAAGATATCTCATTGCTTTCCATCCACCTCTTCACTTCAAGTGGCATCTCCGGCCGTACTGGAGATACCTGACGACACGTTATGTTATTCAGTTTACATAACTGTATTTATTTCAACAATTATTTTATTTACTTCAAACAATCGTCGGAAGGATCAAAATAAATCGCTAATAATTCCTGGTTTCATATTTTTGATAAAGATTAAATTGTTTAGAATAATATTTACGATGCTTTTAAACGGCACTTAATTATATAACGATAATTAATTCTTACTTGCGTTACACCTGCTTCGACACTTCCGTTCTGTTTCACTCTTCGGTTCAATAGAGCACCAATGACGGTATCGGCACTACAATCGAGAAGTCTCTGCCTACAAATTGCGATCGCTCTTATAAAACCATCGCTCGGCGTAATAAACCGATGCTCCATGAAAAAGCTTCTTTCGTCCCAATAAATAATCTGAGAAAAATAAGTAAGATAATATTACATTATAGTAGAGTGCGGATTTATGTCGATAATACTATATTAAAATAATACTATTAAAATATTACTTATGCATATTACTTATGCATATTCAAATATTACTTATGCAGATGCAGATTTTAAATCTGTTTTTTTTTTTAATGCTATTCTAATGTATTCTATTTATTCACAGTCAAACGTAACTCTTTAATAATAAAGAGATTCTCAGATTTGCATTCGAGATTTTGTATTAGATTGTATGAATCTATTTGATATTTAACACATGGATCTAAACATGAATAAATATAACAAAATAATTAATTACATACAAACTTGTTCAAACGTATACATAGTTCTGATTTAATTTTTGCGATACCACAAATACTTCAATGCATAATTAAACTAGTATATTTCTTCAACGGTTTGGTTTAAATTTTGTGATATTGCCGATATTTATACAACAAAGTACATATATAATTATGAATATATCAATTTCTTTTTCTTTTTATGTTATAACCACCAAGGTCTCTTTCAAGATCTCTTTCTTAGCCAAGACATTTAATTTAAATATATCACTATGTTAAATGTTATTTAAGACACATGAAAATATTTTTTTGTTTTTTTATAAGACTTGGAAATATTTTTTTAGTTTTTTATTTTTCGACTTCAAATTACAATAGATTTATAGAAAAAATAAAAATTTTCCTTGTACAGTAGGACACCATCTACTGTTAATTAAGAATTAAATTGAAACTCAGTTAATACTTTGATAATTTTTTTTGCTCGTGCAAATATACACCACTGCATGACTGTGTCTCTTGATATATAATTTAATGCATTCATATCGAAAGAACACGTTCTCCATAAAAAAAACCATTGTGAGTTTTGACAATGCGTCATCGTGATCATGCAGTGCATCGTAATTACAAAATTAAACGTGTTTACTTTGTGTTTACTGAGATCAGGAATGACAAGAAAATTTTATAAAAAAGTGACTGTTTGTCTATTGACGCATTTGCTTTACGCATCCCATATGAGCAATGTTTTTTATCCTTGTCATAGGCCAATGTAACGTGTGGAGAGAATTACTAAAAAAAAATATATATATTCCCGAGAAAACCAATTTAAAAGCGGCGGAATGGGTCTTTAAGTGAACAACATCGGCTTTAAACTTTATTTTCAAATTATTATAACAAAAACGATAATAAATTCTTATAGCAATTTAATATCTCTCTTCATTCCTTCCTCTGTCGTTACGTAAATAGGAATTTTTTTTCTCGGAAGACATTGAAAAATTATCAAGTTGTATGTGATATTCATCAATTCTCTGAATTACCTTTGATGTTATTTTAAAGATCGTTAGCGGCTTGATGAAACGTCTATAGCGTATGGTGGCAGCTCCCTGTACTACACCTGAACCTTGAGAGCAAACCTCTCGATATAGATCAGTTCTCTCGTAGAAGTCAATTCTTGCAAAATCGAGCTCGCGAAAATACCTCGCGTTGTTCATATGATACAAGAGCGCATCTACGTCAGTGGTGGTGCAAATTCCTGTGAAAATCGATTAAATATGAGATTATTACAGTAATTACACACATTTCCATTTTTAAAAACTGTTTTTAAAAACGCTTATTACGCTTTGAACATTATTTCAAATTTGATATGATTGCACCGATTAAATAAATCAGATATTAATGTACATTATATAAAATGCATTTTATGTTGTATGATTGCGAAATCGAGTTCGCGAAGATATCAAGCGTTGTTCGTATGATAAAGCGCGTTTACTTCAGTGATAGTGTAAATTCCTGTGAAAATCCGTGTGATAAATTAAAACATTATTATAATTCATAGTAATTAAATACGTTTCCACTTTTAAAAATTATTTAAAAAATGCTTATTACTCTTTGAATGTCATTTCAAATTTTTTCTGATATAATCACATAATTACACACATTTCCATTTTTAAAAACTGTTTTTAAAAACACTTATTATCATTTGAACGTCATTTCAATTTGATATGCAAATTTGATAGCACCGATTAGTAAATCAGATATTAATGTATGTTATATAAAATGCCGTTATGTAAAAAAACCGCGTAAAAAACTATTAATTTATGTCTATACAATTGATCGAAACCAGATATCATTATATAACAAAACATGATGACTTTAAGATATGATTGATTTTACTTCGAATGGAGTTAAAAGAATTAGGGATGCGTAACTACGATCGAGCATCTATAAAAGTATGCACGTAAATATATACAACTAATCGGACATTGCATTCACTGAAAAGGTGATGTATCGAATTGTTTCTTCGAACAATATAGAGTCGAGTGATTGTATGATGATGATGATGAATGTTGATTATCTGCCAGAGAATGTGAAGTATAGATTCGCGAAGAAAAAAGGAAAATTTGAAATTAAAATTTGCATTATTTAAGCGCAACATGCATACGATTTGGATTTGCGACATCCCACCAGCTGATTCCGCACGTGGTAGGTCAAGGTTCACATAGGAAGATAACCGAAAGGAATTGTAAGGATTCACAGATTATATCACAATGACAAAATGACGTGACGATTCTTTAACATATATCACATTTTAATTAAAAAATCATTAATTAAACAAGAGGAATTATTTATTTATCTGTGAATAATTTTGCAGATATTGTTAATTAAAACGTTATATTAAAATAATTACTAAAATTGCAAAAATTAATCTTACATATTTCTTATAAAATACAATATAAAAATATATTTTTCTATATCTTAATTAATTAATAAATGTCATAGCTTTAAAAAATTTTTCTGTTTTATATATATATATATATATATTACTATTTAATAAAACAGTTACAATAAACATTTAGATAAACTTGAATTATGTTAAAGTTATGAATTATCTTATGTTAAAGAATAAAAACGAATTCTTCTAATTGATAACATAATTAATGTATACAATTTGTATAATTGATCACAATTGATCAAATATTCGTTCCGGATACTACAACAAAGCAGTCTCGTTTAATTTTTGCGTTTCTTCGATCAAAGCTCAACCTAAATTTTTCACGTACCGTAGATCACAGTCTCGTCGAGAATGTGCACCCTTTTTTTGCAGTAACGTGCGAGGAAGACGGTAAAAAATAGGCGCAGGAAATAGTGAAATTCGATGAGGCCGTAAAGAAGTACGACAGCCACGAGGACCCCGACGAGGACCCAACAAGTCATCATCTTGATCGCGCCATGCGATTTTCGCTCCACGAAAGTCAGTCTGGACGCTCTTCAGGATAGCCCGTTCAGGGTAGCTAGACTTTGAAAATACTCCACCTCCGCAACACCACCTCGCACCAGTTTATCGATTCGTTTGGGCGGTCGACCGCGTTTGCTGGCGTTCCTCGTCCCGTCAATAAGAACGCAGACTGCGCTTGCACCATCTCGAAGACTCACGAATGAATTGCAGCGGCGTCGAATTCATCTCGAAATTTTGAGCAGTGCCATCCTGACGTTCCTTGTTGACAGAAATTGAAATTGTAGGCTCGAACCTGATTTCCGGTACGCCGCGCGTGTCAAGGTTTCAGATTGAGATTTAACGATCACGAATTGCTCGCATGTTACAATAAAAGTTAATAATATATTTGTTTTCAATTATATACGCTCGATTATAATAATTTTATTATCGTATATGGCATGCGTTCTATAAATATTTAAGTTACAAACTGACGTTACATACTAAAATGTCATATTAAAATGTTAAACGATTTTGCAGACAATTGACAGCCGACTGTCATCCTCACGAGTCAACATAAATAAAATTTAACGCCAAGAATATAATGTTAACAATTATTATTAGAATTAATTGGCTTTGTCATACTTGAAAAAAATCCGAAAAATATTAAAAATCATAATAAAGGCATAATAATAAAAAAAAATAATAGAGAACAACGTGCTATCAGTGCATATAATTTTGTTTAAACAATTGTGCTTTGCAGCTTATTTCTTAAATCGCAATATTATCGTAGAAAATTTCAAAGAATTTCTAATGTTTCTGTTTGTTGAATTTTTTACTTTAAGAAAAAGACAATTTCAAGTACGACGAATATTACGATATTACACAGCGTACAAAGCGTACGTGCGACTATACCTTGTTCAAATAAAGGAAGAGAATTGAATCGAGCACGATTAGCATTAACGTACTAATCAATCGTTTTGACTAGCAAGGAAAAAAAATCGGCAAAAATCGGATAAGAAGCAACGAAGCAATGAAATTTTGCATCACACGGAGAGCTCACTTTCGATACTTTCGCGTTTAACCAACCTATTATCAGGCGGGACACGTTCTCTCCGGGTCATCATGCATATATCGCTCTCTTTTCCCAAAATTTAACATCTACACACGGAATGTGGTTTTTTTTTTTTTTATATTATAACACGTTCGCACGGTACATAACTTTCTTTCACTTGGTCAACACTTACAAGGTCGTACATTAAGGCTCGTCCAATTTTGATAAGAAGTTCTCTGATCTTTCGCGAAGAAAATCCTTTTCACGAATAGAAGGAAGAAAATTTACGCCGGCACACGCACATCCGGAGGCGAGGAGATCCTATCCTGCCAGTGACGTCTCACGTACTGGTGATCGACGTTCTCGGCTGGCCGTTGTCGGGATGTCCCTTCCCGAAAGGCCGCATCTGCGCCGAGGACATCCAACTAGGAAGTCCGGTCTAAAAAATCTTGACGTCACTGGTCAGTGAGCTTCGACATGTGAGGATTGATCCAGTAACGAAAGCCGCGGATGAAACATGGAAGCCAAGGCTCTGATTAAACAGGTCGATGAAAACCATGGACGGCTAATAGATTTCTACACTAATTGTCGCGCACGCGATGTAAGGATGTTATTTAAAAGAATAATAAACGTATTCTGATGAAAAAACTTTGTCCTTAAATTATTATTCAATTCATTAAATTATTATTCATGCGACGATAAAAATGTTAGTATAGTGTGGTATTTGATATTTCTTTTAATATTGAAATCTTGTTAGGGGAATCTTTTTCACTTCTTTTTTCCTGCTCTATTTTATTAATAATAAGGAATAAGGAAATAAGGAAAAATAAGGACAAACAAACTTTATAAACGTAATTAATGATTGAATTTATAACTGAGCTGACTTTTTTGCGTGATGAATCATTAAGCTAGTGGCAAAAAAATTAATTTTTTTTATTTATTTTTATGTGCAATGAACTATTGAATTTATCGATTACAGATTTTAAATGAAGATTATCAGCTTCAGCTATTGATTTCTTGTGTCGATAACCTTGTAAGGTTCGACATAACGAGATTATTACTAGGCAATACTATCGATAGAAATGCAAAACCGCTCGAACGTTCTTTGTTTGCTGAAGGAAGTAATGTTTGCATTGAAGGAAGTAATGTTTTCATAGTAAATGCGCTAATACAACAAAAGATAAGATCATGCGTTCTAAAATCAGGTGTGAATAAACATTAAAGCTGCATGACGCACGAAAATATATGTAACGACGATGACGTATTTGAGTGACGTAAGCGGAAATAAAAAAATGTATATTTATATCTATGTACACAAATGCATTTACTGAACAATCGCGATATTATTCTATAATTAAAAGCATTCATATTCTCCCTCAATATCTGCAATATCTGCAAAATCTTTCGATATCTCTCTCATTGTCTTATTTGAAACAAATAAAAAATTGTTTTCAGAAAAGCATTCTTATTTTCAAGTTTGACGAAACGAGAAACAGATTGCAATTTATCAAAGCTCGATGATTCAAGAATGGTTCAATAAACATAATTTTATTAATATATATCATTATTATATATTATATATTTATCATCTACATTGGCCAGTTGCGTATATTACAAATAATAAACTTTAGTTATACGAAAACAATATATAAATATAAATAATATGTCGGATTTTTAATAATGATGAATAGTTTTCTTAGTCACAATACACAGAATGTCCGGGAATTCTAAGAAAAACAAAAAATATTATCAGACTTTCCTGCTTTTTCCTATAAAAAATATGCTGTAACATCTCGCATGAAAAAAGCGAGTATATTTTATCAATAAAATCTGCATGAGAATTAATATTACATTTTTTTAAAAAGAATTAGAAACTTTTATCTCTTTTCTTCGTCTTGCGTACTATTAAAGTTGATGAACGACTAATTAGTAAAAATCGCAAAAAATGGGAATCGCTATCTTTGCTTTAGAAATGAATAGAATGACTTGTCGATCGGATAACTCAATACTTTTCGCTATTCCGCTATTATCTTTTCTTATAAATCACATACATATCCCGACTAGACGAGTTATCGAATGTGCGTACGATATGCGTAATTACTGCATAGATATATCGTGATTTGATTAACAGCCATTTGAAGGCTGAGCATGTAAACGGACGATGCTAATATTACGTTTCGACCCTCGCATCGAGGAAGTGCTTTCGTGCTGATGTTTTATGGAAAACGCGTCTAAGGCGATCGGCACGAATTCGTCGCGAAATCGAAACCGAGGAAAATCATGCACCATGCGAGAATTTTCTACGTTTGTTTTACCGTTTTCTTTGTCTTTTCTCGTGCTGACTAATTATATATCTTACGATTAAACAATTTATTTATTTATAAAGATATCCATGAATATAAATAAATTAAATTTTTATTTTTAATTAATTCGTTAATAAAGTATAACTACAACTAAAAACTAATAAGAGCGTAGGATGCAGTTGTACGTGCAATAAATCCATAACTTCTTAGTTTATAAAATTTCTTTCCTTTAATTATATTTACTGCGCAATAATATTCTCCTTGAAACCGGTTTTAATCCTTAGAGACTATCTCCAGTTGACGACCCCGGTGAACCAGTTCGCTTTTTTCGGTATTCTTCAATGTCGCTAACCCCATTCTTTTCCTCACTTATCCTTGAACGATGGAATTTCTGCAGTACTTCAATCTTGTTAACTCTTGCATTGTAATTTTTTTTAAGTCTTACATTATAAGAATACTTTTTTCTTTTTTCTCTTCATTAGTTGAAGAACACCGATTATACGAAGAAAATTATGAATACCACCATATATAAAAAATATTATATACGAATGCCATAAGTACAGAATAAATATTACGAAAAAAGCGAATAAATTGCATATGACTTGATTTACAAAAAAAAATCTTTATCAAGAAAACAAAAAGTATTTAATAAGCACAATTAAAAGAAACTACTTTAAATTTTAGAGATTAAAAATCAAAAATTGTCCATTTATTGCATGTACAATCGCACTCTAAGTTTATAGTTTCGAATTATATGATAAAAAAGTAATTAATATAATAGCTACGTTAGAGATTAATATTATTCTCAATATAAAAATTTTAAAATTTTTAAACCAAAACTATAAGCTATTTTTACTATTTAGTTGTAAGCTTCAAAAAAAGTTTTAATCAAGAAAAAAAATATTGACATTTAATATTTGATTATTTTGCAAAAATACACATAAATAAATATACAAATTCAATTGCAAAAATATTCCTTATTTGAAGGAGGTAAAAAAAAACAATTTCATTAGCTGAAAAATTACATTCTGCCCAGAGAACTGAGAAATTCGCTGACAAAAGGACTGTCGCTCGATTCATATCGGCACAATGGAAGATCGTATGGAATCGGAAATACTGGAACGGCTGGATCTTCTTCGTCCTCAATGGGAAACGTCGTTGTCCCAGTCTAAATATAAATAAATATAAAATAATTAATATTAATCAATTTATTTTTAATATGTCTTTAATATCTCTTATGTATTCATCGATTAATATATATATATATTAAGAATTATATTAAAACAATACAAAGTGCTTACAATAAACTTCGGTATAAATATAACGCCAGCTTCATAACTCATTATGTAATGATTGTTTCGTTGAACTCCCCAAGCAGCTTTACTCAAATTCGCGCTAGTGAGCACAAACCAGGGAATACTTTTCATATCGGGCGAAATTCTTGTATAGGATTTAATATGAGGCATCGCACGATCTCGTCCTGTTCGCTTAGCTTTCCATTGACTGCATCATAAAATCATAAAATTTATAGAAATAAAGATCTCTTTTTCTATGATATGATAACAGCATTGAATAAAAATATGAATTGCTTACTATAAATATGATTCTATCCATTTTTGCTTAGAATGCACTTGTACACTATAAGGCAGGCAGCATGACAAATTTCGAAAATCAAAGCTCTGCTTGTAATTTTGTATAGACGGATAAATGAACTGAAAATGCGGGTGACTCTTTAGGCCTTTAGTAGTCTCCCTTGACATGCATGGAATTATATCTTTCGACAACCAACTTTCGAAATTTGGACCGAGACTGCCTATACTGGAACTTTGCGCAACTATAGGCCATTGAGGAGCATCTGGCGGCAATGTAGCATGACGCGATAGAACGTGCGCCAATTTTCTGTGCCCCCAAAAATCGGCTTCGTTATCTTTATGAGTCCCAGGAACCGAAGCGAGAAGAAATACATTTACTTCAGAAAAATTCGCTTTCCGTACTGCCCATATCCACTGCGTCAAAGCCGGGTGTCTATATTTACTCAGGTATCGTTCAAGATCCCTTTTGAAACCCGTTGGAGATTCCCCATCACTGGGATTCGCGGATTCTGATAGTAAAGGCAGGTGAGGCGAGATCCATAATCTAATCACAAAAAAATATTTATGCATAAACGTCATACCATTGAAGAATATCTAAGAATATTTAGCAGACCCTTGTGTCCTGTTCTCCCAGTCATCAGAATATAAATTAGCAGTAGAAACAATCACTCTAATTCCATTATCTTTATATTGCAGAATCATGATCTTCGTATGATGACAGCCAAATCTGCTTGGCATATCTACTTCTATCATGGTAATGTTACTATTCAATTTCTCACGATCTACTCTATCACCATACAGAATCAACATGTCTGTACGTTGGCCAGCCAACAGGTATTGCAAACAGAGCCATCCGACATCTACCATAAAATTTAAATGAAGACTGTTAACAATTTCCCCAAGACTACGGTCGAGTATCTCAGGGAAAGTGATGGAGAACTGTTGATTATAAGTCTCTTTCGAATTTTCGACTCTTGTGAAGAATAAATGATAAGGTGCTGAAAATGCATATTTTATCGCAAACTCTCCTGGTTCCACAACAGATACGACATAACCAGATCGTCTCATCATTTGAATAGCTCTCTTTCTAACTTCCTTTCTTGATTTTTCAGAATCACAAGAATCATACATATTCATGATAGATGCCCCTGAACTTTGCTCACTGCTTGTAGAACTACTTTGACGATCACTCATATTCTGCTGACTATCCTCAGTGCGATTGCTGCTTTCTATGCTCATCTGTCTCATCTTTTTTGTTACAGAAGAGCCAGCTATCGCTGCTTCTTGATTTCTCTTTTTTGCCTAAAAAAATTTATATTTATTATTTACTATTTTTCATAATTTTTGAAATTCACAAATTCATTCATAATTTCACAAACCTTGATGCTTTTGGAGTTCGCACGTTCTTTACTGGACAAACCGCCTTTGGAAAGTGCCTCAGTTACAGAGTCCATTTGCTTAAGTTTATCTTGCCTCTTCTGTAATATTGCTTTCTTATGCCTCTCTACTTTTTCTTTCAAACCTTCTTTAGCATCCAACAATGAACTCCCTTTAGTAATAGATGAAATTTGTGTTTTTGAAGATGAACTAGCAGTCACAGGCAACTGATTGACTCCGTTTTTGTCTCTCTCCTTTCTAAGCACCATTTGCAATACTTTTAATTGATCCAGCAGTTGCGAGCGATCATTACATACAAAACTTAGCACTTCAGGTATTTCTATTGTACCATCCAGCTGATCTACCAGTAATTCCTCCACTGAAATTGAGACTAAACATTATTAATCTTAAATAATCATATAATTAAATATTATCAGAGTACAAATAATTACAATGAGGATGTGACATTTCACCAAAGTGGATCGGATTTTTCCGGTAACATTTCTCCATAAAAGGGCACCGTTTCTTTTCTGCAATGTCAAATAAATAATCTCATTGTAACAAAATATAATTATTATAAAATCCAAAGATTTGACGTGTAAACTGTTTATGATCGTTACCTATAGAATTCATCGTTGTAAAGATGATTATTGGAGAGAAACAAAATCCTGAAACAATTTACACAGAAAATATCCGATCCAAATTATATATACAAGTGTCTAACTCGGAATTTTTTTATTTCTTCGATTAAAATTTTTCTGTAAAAACATATGATCATATGGCACTTTACGTGTAATTCCAAGGAAACAGTAAATAATTTCATAAACGTTAGTCATCCTAGAGTCCGCGAATTTCACGAATGTACAGAAAAACGTGTCGAAATTGTACGCCATCTGTGTCTATTTTAAAGATGAAACTTCGTAGTCACGATTCAACTCTGTAGATAAAGAGTGCTTAAAGTCGATACAAACGTTATTTTATTAGAAAGAAACTGAAAGCGAGTATCCCAGTCTTTTTCGGGACCATCAAAATTGAAACTCCCTGTACACTACGCAAGTAATCCATTCTTGAATTTGGAAACTACATCCATTTTTCAACGTGCCGATGAAATCGCATTTTGGTACATACATGTTCGTGCTGCATTCATAATTGAATGAAGAATATGCTTATGTATATAATTTTATATATCACCGCGTAATTTTTTTATTGTATTTTAGTCTACAAGGAGTTTTAAAAAAGTCCTATGAAAAAGGCTGATCGCTCTCGGGCTTTTCTCTGTTAAATGAATATAAATTCTACTGTTATCTTAAGTGACATTTATATATAGGGCTATAAACATCCGAATGATAAAATACATGATTTATTTAATATAACCATCATCTGATTACAAAAATTCACATTTGATTTTACGACATGATAATTAATATTAATTAATCGATTTTATTATTTGACATATATGTATTAAAATTCAGATTGATTTATATCTAGCTATATCTTATAAACAATACTTATCTATACATGTATAATTAATGGTAAATTTATAAATAATATTTTTACTTTGTCTGTTTCTACTATTTCTTTTCTTTGTTCGCCTTCTTTTTTATTTTCTAGCATCACTTTCATATTTAGTTTGATTGATGGCATAGATGTTTCGATCATATTAGAGGATAAGATTGAAGATAATAACAAGAATGAAAAATTAAAAGTAGGATAAAAAGGAGATTGGAGCTACAAATGAATCCATTTTAAGATATTTAATATATTCTGTGCTAAGAAAAACTATTAAACTCTTAAATACCGAAATGTTACAGCTTTTTCTTAGCGATGTAATTAGTCTTGATTATTTCATGAACAGCTGTCATCTTAGAATCATATATTTTAATAGTTTAATGTATCGAGAGGGTTGTAACAATGTAATATTAATTGCAAACATTCAAAGATTTTAACATTTGCTTCTACATTGATTAAGATTTTTTTTTCTCTTTAATTTTTTTTATTTAAAATTGTTTTAGATAAATTTCTAATTATAATCTTCATTAATAAAATTAATATTTAATAAATTTATAAATCAATAATTAAGAAATAATAAAATCAATTAAATAATTAAAAAAATATTAGATCAATTGAATAATTAAAAAAATATTAGAGATTAAGTGACGCTTTTGATTGTCTAATAAATATAATAATAATATTAAAAATTCAAAAAAAATACAAAATTTTAAAGAAGTTTCAGACTTTAGATTTCTTCGATATCTCGAACTGCACAATTCACTTGATTTTATCTTCGTTGGCGGTAGAAAGGTGAAAAATGTCAAAATCAAAATCTTTCACGTGAAATATCGAAATTTGTATAATCGTGTATATCGCAATGGTCGAAAGATATAATTCACATTATATAACATGCAAATAATCCGATGAGAGATGCAGCATCTCCACCTCAAGACACAACGTATCCGCCATTCCGTCCCTTAAAAATTACACAATAGGTGAATTAAAGATATGTCTCTCGGTAGAAAATCTTTTTTCTAATTTTAAACTATAAAAACAGGAAATTAAAATTGACGATTACGATATTTGATATCTTACGAGAATGATTTCTGAAAAATTCGATTTGCATTTTATAGACACGCCTGAATTAAATCAACGAGCTCGTAGATTAATGCGCAAAATTAAGTATGGACGCATTCCTCGAGAATTCGATGTTTTTCTTTCTGGACGAAGCGGAACCGATCGTACCAATCTTCCGATCCCCCAGGTACAACGATGCGGGCAGAATTGTGGAAGTGACGGATGTCGGCTGCGACACGGAAACTACGTTTCCTATACATTTTTCACGTACATTTGATCGACGTCGCGGAGGAGCCGAGAGTCTTAGATCGGCCCGCAGAATCGCCAAATGGCGCGAGAAATCAAATAATTTTGCTCGCAGAACAGCGAACGTAAGTGATAAGCTGCTATGAGAATTAATGAATCAATTTAAATATCTTTCGGTCGATCGTAGGACAGAAACGGGAATTACACCCGGAGGAAAACGCGGCAAGATTACGATGATGCGTACATCGCTGATTTGGATTACGACGATTCATATTCTTATGATGATATCGAACTATCGAAAAACGATTCCGCCGTTGAAGAAGAAGATAACTACTATGCCCAATTTATTAATCCTCAGAACGCAATCGCGCGTTCGCGTAAGGAACGCGTCTCGCGGTATGATTATTTGAGAGATCTCGAGGATCCATTTACGCGAAATATTCGCGTGCCTGAAAGTGAAGATGTCTCTTCACGGTGGCTCTCCGACAGAGACGAGAGAGATTTTCACAAAATTCACAATACCGACATTCGATCGGGTGAACGCAAGAAACGAACGAAAGTTCTTCCGAGAATGAACGGAAGCTTCAATCGTGAAAGGGGTATGTTTTTTTTTTTTAAGATAGACAAGCTTTTTGAAAATTTAAGATAAGCTTAGATAACATTTTCTTCTATCGATCCCTTTTAATTTATATTGACTTTTTATAGAATTCGGAAAACCTTTTGAGAAATATCATGAACAACATAACTATCCCAACGCTGTTGACTTTGTCGCGCCTTTGAAAAATAATTTCCGGGATTTTATTTCATTCGATAACGAAACGGAATGCGAGGAATCAGTTTTTTATGATTCGACGAGGACCAAAAATCATGGCTTACAGAAAATGGCGCCGCGCAGAAAAAGATCATATATTTGTAATTCGCAGCCGAAAGGCGTAGGTACTATTGATTCAGAAGAAGAGAAGGTCAAGGACATGTTAAAAAAGGATAGCCAAGAAAGTTTATCGTCAAAAATAGAAAGTACGAAATACCGAACTTCAAAGGATGAAGCGATAAAGGAGAATCCCAAGATTTTGCGATCAAATACGCCGAGCGTGATTTCTTCCCATAATCGATCAACGAGAACCCCTAACGAACGAAACTCAAACATGTATTCTGCAGAAAAAAGTAAGAATTATAAGAAAAAACATAAAAAAATGTTTTTCTTTTTCTTTTCTTTATTCTTTTTTACATCGACCATCTGAGAATAGTTTGACGTGATAATGGCAGATGTCTCTACAATATCATAACTTGTGCGCTTCATAAATATCATCGATAAGTATTTAATAATTATTTTCGCGACAATTATTTTAGACCCTTTCTTTTATGATTAATATATATAAATATATGTATATATAAAATAATAATGAAAAATGTGTAATAAATGTACATAATCCTAAAAAATATTACAAATATCATAACATTTATCTCGTAGTGCATTCTTTCTAAATGTTTCTCTTAATTTTATTTGCTCTTATAAAATATAATAAGTATTTTAAACAATTAGTATTAAATATGTTTGGTTTCTTTATTTTTATCTGCGAATTAATCATTTTCTTTGCAGAGTCAATTAATAATGTACGACCGCAATCAGCGGTCGAAGGGAAAGAAATGAACTTTCTGATAATTAAAAAGAGAGAAGAAATCACAAAAATGACTCAACCAATTGTCGACAATCAGTACCATGACAGATTCGTTAATAAACTTTTCAATAATCCTCCTAAGGAACCGTGTCAATCGGCAAAAATGTTGAATCGTGTTGTGGATTCAAAGAGCAATGGACAGATATACGCAACGAGCGAGAGAGACGATATGAATTCCCATTCCGGAAATTCTGAAAATGATAAAACGAATCGGATCAATCCGGTTGTTTCGCGATCAGGGCCCGAGGAAAAGGTAACGAAGAACGAGAGAACATTCACTTTGAGAATGACGGACACTGCTATGCCACGCATGGATATAGAAAAAGAGGAGAAAAAATTCTTCTCCAAATTACCCATAAGAACGTGGAAACGCTTGAGAACAAAAGAACCCGCCGCGCTGCGTCCTGAGAGCGACGCGACGAACGCAGACGTTAAGGAAAAATTTCAGAAGACGCAAAACGAGACCACAATATCGAATGATCATCCGGAGAGGGTGGAAAACGATGACGTCCGCGAAGGAGCTCGTGCAACCGCAAATTGCAGCGATGTAAAACGGAACGAGTATTTCAGAAGAGGATTGCTCAGAGTTGATAAACCAGAGTTGACTTCCTCCGATTTGAAGAACACAAAGGAAAGCAAGGGTTCAAATGCGGCGAAGAGAACACACGAGCAATGGAAAAAAAGAACAAGCGCCAAGTAGAAATATGAGACATCTCAAAATAAAACATAAACCGTAGTTTATGCTGTCAATTAATGTCGACATTTAATCTATTTTTTTCTGCGTTTTGTCATGTCAACGAGCGTGCGGTGAAAGAGTAAAGCGTTACGATTCGATCGCACCGACTCTTTCTGATCGGTATCGTTTCGTATCTGCGTTTCGAATAAGAAAGAAAAAAAAAGAGCGAGAGAACATGTAACCGCATGGAACGAGACGCTCATAATTGTGCGCGCATAATGGGGCCGTTGGGTTACCTCAAAAGAAGACTCCCTTCGAATGATACCAATTATGCCATCAGCGTACGTTCCCCCTGTCGACAATTCTGTCACAGCACAGTCATCTCACCCGCATGTCACAACCCCCGCTTGCGTAACCACCCTAAAGTGGAGCGCCTCGTATAATGCCTCGTCGCGATTCTCGCAGGGGTCCGCCGCGATCTCGGGATGGAGGGGGCGGAAGGGGTCAGTGGAGAAATATGTAATTGTCCGTATTTACCCTTGCACCCGGCCGCGTACTCAAACAACAACACGAAACACCCTCCTGGAGACACCCCCGTACAGACGCGCGACGCCGATTTAATTTGAACACGCTCAAATATTTTCGTTTTGTCGCTTCGTGACGGTACCACCCGCTCTCCGTATCCGCCCCTCTGAATTCAATATATTTATTAATTTTAATTTTCACACACACACACACACACTAATAGAAACGCGATGATAATACTGACAGATATATTTGTGAATTTTCTCTTTTGCATATATTGAACGTAAAAATCAACGATATTATCGACGATCCGCGCTTTTATTTTCACTTCGTTTCACTTCGTCCCTTAACCACCAGGGAAAATGGGAATGAGCGAGAACAACGACGGCGAGGAACCGAAAAACAGAGCGACGACGGGAGGAGATTTGCGAAAGGAGTCGGCGAGTCGCCCCGTGCGGGCGAGCCAAACCGCCCAGCTGGAGGCAGATAATCAAATAAACCTGCACGCACCGTATAAATTATCAATCAGGGCGCGATTGTGCAACCCCAACAGAGGGAGCCATCCGTGTCAGTAAGGGTTGTTACACGTCGACGTCGCCCGCCGTGGGCGCGAGGGGGGAGGAGGGGAAGGAAGGAGGGGGATCGGACGACGATGGATGTGTATGCTCGTCGCCGTCGTGTCGAGTGACCCCGCAACAGTTATCTTCCCCGCGTGCGTGGGCGTGCGTGAAACGTGAGTTCACGCCCGAGTTCCGGGGAGA